TCCTGAATGGTTCAATAGCGCTTCGTTATAAAAAAAATAACGAATTAATAACGAATTACGAAATTAACGAACAAAACTGCCCAGCCCTACTTCTGAAGTGGGGGACATATATATTTGGAGTGTGAGTATATGAAACTATTGCTATCAAATCCTTGATTTAAGGGGGTTGTACTGTACATTTGCTGCCTTTCCATTGAGCAAAGTTCAGAATGATCTCTTTTACTCTTGACACACACATACCGGGAGGAGAGAACAGGATCACAGGAAGCTGTTTTATCCAGTCAGATTGTTGGTCCATCTTCCCCAGTCTTGTACATTTATATCCCACCTTTTCCTCAATGGAAAAGTTAGGAAAACCAGTTCTAACTGGAGGTCAGCTGTTGCCAAAAATGCTATGGAATTTGAAGAGGCATGAATGGAGGGCAAAAGGGAGAAACATGTCAAGAGGAAGGCGCCCGTTGGGACTGCCTTCCACCTGGAAGTTGATGTGCTCACTGTGAAAGTACATGCAGATCCAGAATAGGTCTCTACAGCTACCTACGGACCCACCACCAGACCCTACACTTGGAAGGCAAGCATACTCGGCCATGAGTGAATAGCCTATGATGATGCCTTTTCTCCAGTATGGGTCCCCAAGGCACTCTTCTCTTTGGCACTGAATTTAAAAAACTTATTGAAAAAAATGTTTTAAAAGAATGTTAAAACATTGTCACGTTTGGAACCCCAATGGGCTGAAAAACCATAGGCTCTTCCCTCTTCAAAGTCAGTCCATTAATATAGAATATTGTTTCCTTCATTGCCTGAAGTCACGTATTTGACCAAACCAAAGGGTATTAAGTAGATAGCTTGAGGGAAGGGCCAGCCCAAATATTTTGCTGCCTGAGAAGAAGAAAAAATGACATCCTATCCAAAGCATAGTACTCAAAGTCAGAATGAATTATTTTGGCAACTGAGAGAAATTACACTATCATCCCTTTTTTTGCAATTACTATGTGATATAGCAAGTTACTCCTTAGAATCGTAGAGTTGGAAGAGACCGCCAATCCAATCCAATTCTATTCTACCAAGCAGGAAAAGCCCAATCAAGACACCCCCAACAGATGGCCATCCAGCCTCTGTTTAAAAGCCTCCAAGGAAGGAGACTCCACCACACTCTAAAGCAGAGAGTTCCACTGTTGAACAGCTCCCACCTGAAGCCTTAGCTTCTTTCTGTCCAGTGCAAGAGTCAGTTCTATTAGAGGTTGTTGTGTTAATTTAAGAGGGATTGTACTTTACTGAGGCCATGGCAAATCAGTAGGATACAAGCTTCATCACTGGCTCCTTTCAAAGTGGTGTGTGGTGTGTTACTTCATTAAATGAGCAAAAATGCATGGGGGGGTCACTCTGTTAGGTAAAGATTTTCCCCTGACATGAAGTCCAGTCGTGTCTAACTCTCGGGTGTGGTGCTCATCTCCATTTCTAAGCCAAAGAGCTGGCGTTGTCCATAGACTCCTTCAAGATGATGTGGCTGGCATGACTGCATGGAGCGCCGTTACCTTCCCACCAGAGTGATACCTATTGATCTACTCACATTTGCATGTTTTCGAACTGCCAGGTTTGCAGAAACTGGGGCTGACATTGTCATTGAAATGGCACTGTCTGTTAGTGCCATCAAAATGCATGCGTCTTCAAGTTGCATGTTGATTCATGGTGACTCAGTAAATTTCATAGGATTTCCTTGGGAAGGAATACTCAGAGGTGATTTTGCCTGAAATGTAGCCTACAGCACCTGGTATTTTTGGTGAAGTGTAAATTTTTAACTTGCAGTTATGTATAATTATAGATAGATGTTTTAAAGGGTAAGTATTTAAAGTTGCATAACTAGGGGGGATGGTGGCCAGCTCAGCTCATGTTGAGGTGGGTTACCATGGAAACAGGGGCGGAGCCAACTGCCACTTGGCAGGGCAGCCATTTTAAAACAGTTAGTCTGTAGTCAGTGAACTACAGGAGAGGCTGGTTCTAGTGTGTGTTGAGAACCAGTAAGTTAGTCTACAGCCTGTGAACTGTAGGAGTGGCTGGTTCTGTTGTGTAGTGAGAACCAGGGAAGTAATCTGTAGTTTAAAACTACAGGGAAAGGCTGATTCTATAGTAGTAAGAATAAGGAAGGTTTTGGCTTTTAGCCTGAGTAGTTTAAATAAGTCAAGTCGACCTATTTATATTAATAGTTAGTGTATGAGAGAAAGGATGAGAGAAACCCAGTGAGAATCTCTTGTTGTTGTTGTTCATTTGTTCAGTCGTCTCCGACTCTTCGTGACCTCATGGACCAGCCCACGCCAGAGCTCCCTGTCGGCCGTTACCACCCCCAGCTCCCTCAAGGTCAGTCCAGTCACTTCAAGGATGCCATCCATCCATCTTGCCCTTGGTCGGCCCCTCTTCCTTTTGCCTTCCACTTTCCCCAGCATAATTGTCTTCTCTAGGCTTTCCTGTCTCCTCATGATGTGGCCAAAGTACTTCAACTTTGTACCATGATGTGGCCAAAGTACCTCAAACCTCTGAAGATGCTTGCCATAGATGCAGGCGAAACGTCAGGAGAAATGCCTCTAGAACATGGCTCTATAGCCCGAAAAAAACCCACAAGAACCTACTTCAACTTTGTCTCTAGTATCTTTCCCTCCAGTGAGCAGTCGGGCTTTATTTCCTGGAGGATGGACTGGTTGGATCTTCTCGCAGTCCAAGGCACTCTCAGAACTTTCCTCCAACACCACAGCTCAAAAGCATCGATCTTCCTTCGCTCAGCCTTCCCTAAGGTCCAGCTCTCACATCCGTAGGTGACTACAGGGAATACCATGGCTTTGACTAGGCGGATCTTTGTTGCCAGTCTGATGTCTCTACTCTTTACTATTTTATCGAGATTGGACATTGCTCTCCTCCCAAGAAGTAAGAATCTCTATTGCAACAGAAACATCACAAAGAAAGAATAAGCTTGTAACTTGAAAGAATAAGCTTGTTTGAAGAAAAATAAATTTGAAACCAGTTTAGTGGAAGGAAGAGTCCTTTTCAGAGTTGTTTAAGGAATCTTATAAATGTAACCTTTGAAGATATGTGCCTCTAAGAGTAAGAAACATTGAAACCATCACACTCCTTCTACATTTCAATAAACTTGTTACTGTTTTTCCTAAAGCTCTGTCTCTGTTACAATTCCTTTCAAAGTTGAGTCACACTACACATTAAAGAAAGACCAAGTCAATATCACTAGCTATTAGCTACACTATCAAATTAATAAACCCTTGCAAAGTGGTGGCTCCTTTACAAACTCTTCACAAATTTGTGGCATCGTTACAGTATTATTTGGTGGTCTCCCTTCCAAGTACAAACCAGTGCAAGTACAAGTACAAATAGGATTTAGTATCTTCAGGGTGTTGTTTTTGTACTCATTTAATGTGTGTGGTACCCCTCTAGAATAAGTCACATACATTCGTTGGTTTTAAAATCTATGAATGTCCCCCTCCAACCATTTAAATCATGCCTTGTGGATCATTGTCCCTTCCGTTGGTTTCTCTCTCTTGAGTCCAAGGTGTGTTTTCTGCCTCTCTAAGGATCTTGTCTTCTGAAGTGGGAAAGCAAAGCAAACTGTTAATAATTAAAGAGCCCTTCGGCCTTTTATTTGGATTGAGGCGGGGGCTGAGAGACCATTCTATTTTTAAAGTGGCCATATAATGCTGTTCTAGTGAAATTATCCTACAGGGACCTGAGCTCAGAGTTTATCAGACATATGGTGGCAAGGCTGAGAGGGAGGGTGGGAAGTGGCAGGAAGTAATGTGGTCTTTCGTATGGAAACATTCTGCTCTGCCTGCTCTGATTCTTCTGTGTGGTTGTTATTGTTAGGTGTAGAATAAAGCCTGAGAATCAGAAGTTACAAGCGATAAACATGCCATTTGTTTCGGTAATAAGAACAGAATAGAGACACTGGGTTGTTGTAGGTTTTTCCGGGCTATATGGCCATGTTCTAGAGGCATTTTCTCCTGATGTTTCGCCTGCATCTATGGCAAGCATCCTCTGAGGTAGTGAGGTCTGTTAGAACATGGCCTACAACAACCCAGTGAGTCCGGCCATGAAAGCCTTCGACAATACATAGAATAGAGACACATTCCAAAAGCAGTGCAATAAGCAAGATCAAGGTTATTTTACTGGTATAGCAGGTATCAATTACCACTTACATTTAAATAGTAATATTTAAAAGAGCATTTCTAGAAGTGTTTGAACATGAATATTTCAACTTCTACGTCATTGGAAGAAACTATTACTTTTTGAAAAACTGTCAAAAGTAAGAACGAGTCAGTGTCTAACTGCAACTTGAGTTATTTATGGCGACGGTGGTCTATGCTCTTGTTACATCCCGAATAGACTACTACAAGGCACTTTATGTGGGACTGCCTTTGAAGACTGCCTGGAAGCTTAAACTAGTCCAACGGTTGGCAGCCAGGTTGCTCACCAGAGCGGTGTACAGGGAGCAGGCATGTAGCCGGGGGGGGGGGGGGGGG